CGGAATCAGCCTACATCTTCCGGGGGCCGGATGCTGCCCCTGCCAGGCGCCCGTCCGGAGACTTCTCACCCTCACCCTCCCCTCGCTCCCCGCAGGTGGCCCCTCTTCCCAGCCCCCGTCTCCCCAAAACCCCACCCGCCGAGAACCAGGACCCTGAGCCCAGAAGCCCCCCACCTCTGGCCCCGGAGAGCAGGACCCCCCTCGCCCCCTCCCCGCCTGGGGGGAGCCCGACCCCACTCCTGCCACCTTCCCTGCTGGACTCGGGGGACCCTGCCAGGTCCCAGCCGCTTGCTGAGGCCTCGGCCCCCCTGGAGGCGCTCAGGGGGCCCCCACCCCACACTCTGCCAGCGGAGTCTGGCCCCCAGCCCCCTTTCGCCCCACATGGGGCAGAAGAGACCCCTTGCATCGGCCACAGTGCCGGCATGGAGTCGCCCTCCCTGGCCAGCGCTCCCCGGGCAAAGTCCCCACCTCCAGCCCACGTGCCCCACAGCCTCCCCACGGAAATGGGCTCAGCGGGGTCCTCTGCCCAGGGGGCAGCTTCTCTGCTCGGCAGCCCCCCTGAGGAAGCCCTGCCCCACGCTGAGGCCAGGACCTCGTCTCCTTCCCGGGCCCCGATCCTGGAGGGCCCCCCACGGCCGGTGCTTCTGAAGTGATGGATGGATGCGAGTTTGTGGCTCCTCCGCTGGGAAAGGATCCTGCGACAGGTCAGAAACCATTCCCACCCCCCACATAGGGGGCAATGCAATGCAAAAGTCCACATTGCTTGCAGGATGCTGGAGCAGAAAGGGCTGGATCCTGCAAGCTCTTCCGCTGTTTTTTAGGAGAAACTTCTCTGGCCAAAACTGGCTGGAGACCCAGACAGACAGACATTCTTGTTTTCTCAGGGCCAGATTTAGGTCTGATGAGGCCCTCAGCTCCTGAAGGTAACGGGGCCCTTTATATGTCCAGCTGTCCTTTGTCCACAACAAATTGTCACGGTTTTTTGTGTTGGATAGATGCTATCTGGTCGTTTATGGACCTCATAGGGATCTCAAGCCATTTGCACATAACAAAATATGTATTTTATCCAAGTAAAAAGCTTTTTATCTTAGATTTTGGAAATGTACATCCAGGTGTTTTTTTCTTTAATTTTTTTGGGGCCCCCCAAAAGAGTGGGGCCCTAAGTATAGCTTGTCTAGCTTATACAGTCATACCTCATGTTACGCTTGCTTCAGGTTGCGCGTTTTCAGGTTGCGTCCCGTGGCGACCCAGAAGTACCGGAAAGGGTTACTTCCGGGTTTTGCCGCTCGCGCATGCACAAACGCACAAAATGACGTCACGCGCATGCACAGAAGTGGCAAATCACGACCTGTGCATGCGCAGACGTGGGTTGCGTTCCTTTCAGGTTGCGAACGGGGCTCCGGAACGGATCCTGTCTTCAACCAGAGGTACCACTGTACGTAAATCCAGCACTAGGTGTGGGGGGTGTGTGTGAATTGGCGCATGCCTTTTTGTTGGGGGGCGGGAAGGTTGGACGGCAACAAGACCAGACTCCTCAGCCCCCTCTCCCCTTCGCAGACCCTCCGCCAACACCTGACTCAGCCCCATACTCTGGGTTCAATGGGACGTCCGCCTTGGAAGAGGAGAGCTGGCCCGCAGGGCAGGTAACGCACCTGTGGGCAGGTGGGGCTTGGGGGTGGACGAGAAGGGGGCTTGGGGCTTTTTGCTCAGAGAGTCTCTGCTTCCAGGGGACGCCGTCTGTCGAAGCCAAACTCCCCGAAGAATCAACCTGGGATCCCAGAGCAGGTGGGTCTCCTCTTTCTTCCCTCCCCCCCCCCCGGTGATCTCAGTCCTATTCCACCCCCCCCCCAAAATTAAATCACTGCTTGTCTTTCCACAGGTGCCAGCCAGGCCCCCGGGGCCGATTCCAGAGAGGAGGGCGAGGACCCCTCCGTGCCCACAGGAAGGGCTGGAGAAGACTAGTTCACACAATCATGTGCGCCCCCCATGGACTCCACTCGCCCCCCCCCTGCTTGCTTTGGCTTGGACGAGTCCCCTCCTCAGCTCCCCACAGTCATCTGCTGCCACCCCCCTCCCAGAAGCAACTCTGCCCCTGCTTTTGTCTTGCCCAATAAAGGAAAAGTGGCAAGCAGGTCTCTGTGGGTCCTCTGTGGGGCAGGACTGAGGAATGCCCCCCTCCAAGCCCATAGGGAATGAATTGGGAGAGCTGAGGGTGGAGGGAGGTTTTGCAGGGCTCCCCCCACCCTGAAGGGCATAGCCTTAGGGGAGGCCAAGAGAGAGCAGTGGGTCTTGCCTGTGGACTGTAACCATCACCCCCCCCAGGACTGGGGGCTGGGGACTGTCTCCCCCTTTGAGCTCGTGATGCAGCAGCAAAAAAGGCGAATGCGATTCCAGGCTGCGTCAACCAAAGTCAAGGGTCTTGAGATCCAGGGAAGAAATAGCATTGCTCTTTTCTGCCTTGGTCAGAGCGCAGCTGAGGTTCTGGGTGCCTCAGTTTAAGAAGGGTATGGACAAGCCAGAAGGAGGGAAACTAGGAGGACCAAGGCTCTGGAAACCAAGACGTATGAGGAATGGTTGAAGGAGCTGGGGATGTTGAGCCTGGAAGAGAGGAGCTACGATGATGTTTAGTCGTTTAGTCATGTCCGCCTCTTTGTGCCCCCCTGGACCAGAGCATGCCAGGCCCTCCTGTCTTCCACTGCCTCCCGCAGTTTGGTCAACTCATGCTGGTAGCTTCGAGAACACTGTCCACCATCTCGTCCTCTGTCGTCCCCTTCTCCTTGTGCCCTCCATCTTTCCCAGCATCAGGGTCTTTTCCAGGGAGTCTTCTCTTCTCAGGAGGTGGCCAAAGTACTGGAGCCTCAGCTTCAGGACATGTCCTTCCAGTGAGCACTCAGGGAGCTACGATAGCTTCCTTCAAAACTCTGAAGGGCAGGATGCGAACCCATGGCTTCAAATTACAATAAGCGTTTCTGACTCAACAGCAGGAAGAGCAGTTTGACAGTGGAACGGATGTCCACAAGAGGCAGTGGTCTCTCCTTCCTTGGAGGTTTTTAAGCAGAGGTGGGATGACCACCTGTCAGGGATGCTTGAGCTGAGATTCCTGCCTTGTGGGGGGCTGGACTAGATGGCCATTGGGGTCCCCCTCAACTCTACCATTCCGTGATTCTATGAAAATGAATAAATAAAGGGTGGCAGGCAGGTGGCAGCTGGAGGGCTCAGTCGGTAGACCATGAGACTCTTCATCTTAAGGTCGTGGGTTCGAGTCCCGCACTGGGCAAAAGGTTCCTGCCTTGTGGGGGGCTGGACTAGATGCCCGCGGGGTTCCCCTTCCAACTCTACCATTCTACAAAAGCTGCAGTCAGAGCAGGCCGCCCTGGCTCAGAGATGACCCAAGTCCTGCTGGGCAGAAGACAAAGGCTTGCTCTGCTCCCTCCCTCCCTCCTTGGGGGGTCTGCCAGCCCTCCATGCTGCTGGGGGAACATCACAGACGGATCTCTGAATACTCAGCCTCCCCCAGCACACCTCACTGGAAGGAGGGAGCCGGGGGTGCCATAGCCCAGAGATGGGGGGCTAGCAGTATCTCCCCCGGCTCTGCGGTGGCGCTTGGGGGACCACCAGAAAACTCACCAGTCTTTAACATCAGCAGTTACATCCAGACCAAAAGTTTCAGCCCTGTTCTTGAGTTTGTTTAAAACCTAAAACAGCTTATCTCCTATTCCTTTGCAAGTTTTTTTTAAACCTTTTTGTAAAACTAGAGTTTTCACAGCCGAGTCCTCAACTCCTTATTACTACTGCTTGGCTTTCTTTAAACAGGGCTATGTCTAAAACTTCCCACTGAGGTTTCCAAACCTTTTTTGTAAACCCAGGGGAGCTTTTCAGCCCTGCTCTCGAGTTTGTTTAAAATCAGTTAAGGTTTATGATTTCTCTATTTCCTTCGGAGGAAACTGAATAGTTCAGTGAAACGAGGTTTGTAGCCAGCATCCCGTTAAGGCTTTGTTCAGTTCTAGGTTTCTCTAATTTTTTCCTTAAAAACTTTTTGATTTTTGTTATTTGGTTTAAGTCTATAGTCGATTACTTCTCGTTTCGGGGATTTTCACGGTATTTCGTTTGTTTTGTGCAATTTCAGAGATGTGGGGCTAGCAGTAGCTCACCGGGCCTCTGCGGTGGCGCTTGGGGGACCCCCAGAAAGCTCCCCTGAGAAAACCCCCAAGAAAATATGTTTATTTGAGGGGGTGGGAGAATGACGAACAGTTCTACCCATGCACCCCACCCCAATTTCTGCAGGGATATAAAGTCTACCAAGGCCTCAGCACTGGAAGGAAGCAGGATGAAGATGGATAATTTGGGGGGACACCTGGCACCAAAGCCATCCAGCCTCTTTTGAAGCCCCCCCCCAATATATAGACACAGCCATACACACACAGTCCAGACCCCACCTCTCGCATTGACAAACAAATCGTTAAATACATTTTAATGCATATTCAAGGAAGAGGCAGGGTTGCCCCCCGCCCCACAGATGGGGGGGGGTCACGCCTGCCTACTTGGCAGCAAGCACCGCCCCTCCCCTCCTGAATTGGCACATATCCCTGAAACTCAGGGGGAGCGTTAGAAAAACGGGGGGCTGTCGGAGGGCAAGGTAGGCGGGGGGTGATCTTTGGGGCCACCGCTGGGGGTGGTGAAGTTGTGGGGGGGGGCCTTGCACAAAGGAACCAATACGAATGAGCTCCTGCTTCTGGCGGGGGAGGTACCAACCATACCCCCCCCCTTTTACAATTATTTCCCCACCTCAAATTGTTCCAGTTTCTCAAAGGGAAAAGGTGCTTTTTCTCCCCTGCTGAAGAGGAGACTTGTGGGTCAGGACGGTTACACAGCCGCCCCCCCTAAATTGGGAAGTGGGCATAAGAGCGCTCCCAACAGGCTGTGCCCCCCAAGTGGGGGGCAGCTGGTCCAGAAGTGAGGAGAGGGCCCTGATGGCTTGTTAGAGGGTGGCGGGGAGGGGACTGGAGCGTGTGGGGTCCTGGCCCCACATCGGGCCCTCTGCTCCAACCTCCTGCAGTCCCCTGCTTCCAGTCTAGCGGACCTCTGGAGGCCCCAGTGCCCTCCCTCCTCAGACCTGGGACTGCAGCCACAAGCGGGGGTCAAACCGGGGCCGGGCGTGGGGCCGAGGCGGGCGCTCGGGCTCCGGAGTGGGGCTGCCGCTGCTGCTGCTGGAGGAGCTGGAGCCGGAGGGGCCCCTGGCCCTGGGGGGCGGAGGCGGCCCCGGCGGGCGCCCCGAGCGTCCTTTCAGGGTGCTGAGCTTGGCGTCCAGGGAGAGGGTGCGGGGCCGGCCCCAGGGGGGGCGTGGCAGGGGGCACGGGCTGGCGCTGGAGACGCTGTCGCTGTCGGACGCTGCGCTGCACGACGACCCTTCCAGGAGGGACAGCCAGGCCGGGGGGCCCAGGCCCGAAAAGCGCCGGGCCAGGATCTCCGTCACGGCCTCAATGTCGTCCGCCGGCTCAATAGCTGGGGAGAAAAATAGGGCGGGGGGGGGGAGATTAGCGGAGGGGCCGTTGCAAAGGACTCCCAGAGGACAGAGGGGCAGGAGTCCCTTTCCATGCGCCTCCCAAGGGAAGCCGCACCCCAAAGCAAGGAACATCTGGAGCCAGGCTGGGCTAGCTGGGACCGGATGGAATCTGGCAGAAGCTTAGCTACAGTCACACCTCGGGTTACAGATGCTTCAGGTTGCGTTTTTTCAGGTTAGTAAAGGTAAAGGGACCCCTGACCGTTAGGTCCAGTCGTGGCCGACTCTGGGGTTGCGGCGCTCATCTTGCTTTATTGGCCAAGGGAGCCGGTGTACGGCTTCCGGGTCATGTGGCCAGCAGGACTAAGCCGCTTCTGGCGAACCAGAGCAGCGCACGGAAACGCCGTTTACCTTCCCGCCGGAGCGGTACCTATTTATCTACTTGCACTTTTGACATGCTTTCGAACTGCTAGGTTGGCAGGAGCAGGGACCGAGCAACGGGAGCTCACCCCGTCATTGCGGGGATTCGAACCGCCGACCTTCTGATCGGCAAGCTCTAGGCTCTTTGGTTTAACCCACAGCGCCACGGACCGCCAAAACCCAGAGGCACAGGAACAGGTTACGTCTGGGTTTCGGCGGTTGCGCATGCGCAGAAGTGCCAAATCGCAACCTACACGTGCGCAGATGTGCCGCTGCAGGTTGTGAACATGCCTCCCGCACGGATCACGTTCGCAACCCGAGTGCTCACTGTATTGGCTTCACCTAACTCAGGTCACCCCCGGTTTAATATCCCTGGTGGTGCAAAATTGTCACAAGAGTGCCTGGATTAAAACGGTCTATTGAAAACTTCCCTCTTGTGGTTTATCCCCAAAACAGCTACTCACTTTGGGTTTTAGTAAAGCCAACAGTCCAATTTGCCTAAATGATCTTGAGCATCGGAACAACTTGGCCACGATAAGGAAATTTTGCCCAGGGCATGACTATTTTCCACCTTCCCATTTCGACTCTCTGGCACCCTATCTGCATAACTGAGCAATTCCAAAATATAGATTACTCTCGCAAGGGTGAATGTCTTGCCCTTAGCTGGACTCGAGGGATGATTCCAACCGATTCCACACAAAAAACACTTATGTTCCTGTGGAGACGGCAGTACCGAATCGGCAGCACACGCCCTTCTGGCTTGCCCTCTTTATAAAAGCCTCGAGGAATGAGATTATCACTCCTCTTTTATTGCCCATTCCGGGTCGCCCAACCACTGCCCCAGTCTCCTTTCTCCTGGCAGATCAAGATGAGCGGGTGACAGCAAAGCTGGCAAGGTGTTTAGCTGCAGCAATCAGAATAAGATCCACTATTTAACTATTGATTCAAAACTCTAAAATTTATTTTATATGATCAACTTTTTATTTCTATTCTTCGTATATCGCATTGGTATTTTATTGCTATGGCCGACGCAAATAAAGATTCATTCATTCAATTTGGCAGGAACTGAAAAAATAACTCCCAATTTGTCTGGAAAACTCTCTTTCTGTTTGGTGGGGTTTTATCTCACATGCAGCAAATAAGCCGTGGTGTAGCTTTGCAGGGGGTTGGACTAGATGACCCCTGAGGTCCCCTCCAAAACTCTGCAGCTCTGAGATTCGAAACTCCCTGGACTCCCCTTCTCCATGGTGCAATGTGAAATTTGGTCTAGAGTGTACTGCTCTTTGGGGCTGACGTTGCCTCCATTGCATCGATTCTCTTGATGTGCTGCAGTAAAATCTATCTTTTTAAACATAAAAAATAAAAAAGTGTGGTGGTGGGGGAGGAGCCGCAATCCGAAATACTCAGAGCGTGCCCGGTTGGCAAAGGCTGCCCAAGCATGGTGCCCTCCTAAGGCCGCCGTCAGAGAGCGCATGCCCTCCCGGCAGAATCTAGACTGGATCGTCTCAAAGGGCAGAAAAGGGGGGGGCATGTACATGTGATAGGAATTTTGAGGTCTTAGATATATGTGAAATGTTCATAAGTGTACCAACCAAGCACGTACACAGATCAGCACTGGAAGACCGACCTGGAACCATTTTTGATCCCCCAACTGACCAAATGTTTTCTCTGCAAGGTCAAAGGAAAATGGAAAAGCCTCCCCATTGTCTTTTCCTTCACAAATCCTGTCTTAAGGGTATGTCTGTGTATGAATAGGGTGTGAGCCTGTGACCTGGCCCAGGAACTAAGTATTTATCATTACAAAAGACTGGCCAGGCTCCCCAGGCAATCCAGTCAAGTGACCATTAAACAGGTAACCTGGCAGACAGGAGGTAAACAATGCACTCCGATTTCTGCTGTAGACCACCTTCTCTGTGATGTAGGTATGATGTATCTGGGGGGTGGTCTTGAGCTACACCCCTTCTGTGATGTATGGATGATGTTTCTGGGGGTGGTCTTGGACTCCAGGGAGGGAATTTAAATTGTCTATATAAGGGCGGGCACACCTGGGTTCTGGGTCCTCCTCCTTTCCTGATCAATAAAGATCAGGCTTATGAGCTGCTTTGCTTCTCAATATTCTCTGGTTGGCCTCTGTTATTTTCTCCTACCAATAGGGAACCCACGTAAGGACTCTATATGGGCTCTTGGATACCCCATAAGGGGAAAAGGGCAATTTTTGTTTACAACATACACATAAATGGAGGTGCCCACTGGGTGCAACTGCCCACAGACCCCGCCAGCCCCCTCCCTGTCAGTGAGAGATGCCAGGGGCTCTGCCGCTGCCTGCGCTGCCCACCCCTCTCTACGCAAAGGGTACTCCTGCCCCCTCCACCCCCTCCCTGGCACCCAGAGCACCCCTCCCCACCCCGTCCAGCTTTGGGTGGGGGTTACGTCACCTGTCGCTGTAATACGAGGAGAGGAGAGCCCGAATCTCGGCAGAGACAGCGTTGTCCTGCAACAGCAGCCCCTCGCAGTTGGGGGGCGGCCCCCCTGGGCCAGGGAGAGCTGGGGTGGGGGGTAAGGGGTCGGGGACAGGACAGAGAAGAAGAGGAAGAGTAGGGGAGACATGCAAAGAGAGAGTAGGAGGAGAGCAGAAAGTTACAGACACAGATACATCTGGGCGCAAGCAAAGTGTGGGGCAGGCCCCACAGAAACCGGGGGGCAAGACAGAGCCCCAGAGACAGGCAGGAAGAAGAGGGCAGAAGGAGGGGAGACCCTCTTGCCTCCCCACCGTGAGTTCAGGGGGGCCCTAAGCCACCAGGCCCACCCCTCAGAGCCCCCTCTGTTCCCTTCAGCCCCCCCACCCTCCCTGCTTCTCCGGACCCCCTTCTCTGGAGACTCACCCATCTCGTGGTAGAGGGAGCCTTGCTTCTGCAGGAGGGCCATGGGGCGCCGTGGGGAGGGGACCTCCACCTTCATGAGCTCATCGCAGCAGTGCTTCCACTGGCCTGGGGGGCAGGGAGAAGATTGCGGGGGGGGGGTCGACTTCAATGAAATAGTTAAGCCCCACCCCACATAATGGATCATAGACATGGCGCCCATTCACTATCACCATCAACTTGGGGGGGCTGCTGCTCAAATACTTTAAGGGGGGGCTGAAGGAACCTCAACCCCAACCTGTTGGCTCACATGCCAGGGACCCCCCCCCCACTTTGCTGGTCGTCTGTGGGGCAGGCAGGGGGCGCTGTGCTGCCCCCTAGTGGTCTCCCCACGCGCACCAGAGGACAGGATCCCTTCTAGCCGACCCAGCGGGTCTTAGGCCAGGGGTCAGTTAACTTTTTCAGCTGGTCCACCGTCCCTCAGACCATGTGGGGGGCCGGATTATATTTGGGGGGGGGAAACTGAACGAATTCCTATGCCCCACAAATAACCCAGAGATGCATTTTAAATAAAAGAACATATTCTACTCATGTAAAAACACACTGATTCTCGGACCGTCCGTGGGCCGGATTTAGAAGGCGATTGGGCCGGATCCATCCCCTGGGTCTTAGTTTGCCTACCCATGTCCTAGAGCAGCCTTTCTCAACCTGTGAGTCCCCAGATGTTGTTGAACTACAACTCCCATCACCCCTAGCTAGTAAGACCAGAGCTCAGGGATGATGGAAGTTGTAGTCCAACAACATCTGGGAACCCACAGGTAGAGAACCGCTGGATTAGGGGTTGCAGCTGTCCTTCTTTAGCCCCCCCCCATCTCCTGGGAAGGGCAGGGTCTTCTCAAGAGCCTCCTCCAGGAGCAAACCTCCCTAGCATGGAGGGCGGTGGCTGGATTGGGGCCCCCACGGTCCAGCTCAGCATCTTCCTCACCTCCCTTGTCCTGCCACGACCCCCTTGCGAGGCGGGACAAGGATGCAGCGGGAGGGCAGAGCAAGAGAGGGCAGTGTTGCCCCTGATCTCCCCCCCCACCTGTTTCCACACCCCCCGTCTCTCCTCCCCTACTCACTCATGTCGTAAAAGTGCTGCCAGAAGGCTTCCATCCAGCGCTGCGTCTCGGAGCGGGACTCGGCCAGCAGCGTGTGGGTCACCTCCTCCCCCCCATAGCGGTTCGTCACGGACATGGTGTGCAGTTGGTTCTTGGGGTCCTTCTCTGTGGCTCGGATGCGTGTCTCCTGGAGGGGGGGCAAAGGGGCCTCAGGCACGGAAATGTGCGCATGCGCAGAAATACCCAGAGGTGCCCAGGGAACACCCAAGGAAGGGGGAGGTTGGAAGATTCAGGACAAAGAAAAGAAAGTGCTTCTACACACAGTGCGTTAAACGGTGGAACTCCCTCCCACAGGAAACGGGGGGGGCACAAACCTAGATGGCATTTATAGAGGACTAGACCAGGCATAGGGACGCGGGTGGCGCTGTGGGTTAAACCACAGAGCCTAGGGCTTGCCGATCAGAAGGTTGGCAGTTTGAATCCCGGCGACGGGGTGAGCTTCTGTTGCTCGGTCCCTGCTCCTACCCACCTAGCAGTTCGAAAGCACGTCAAAGTGCAAGTAGATAAATAGGTACCGTTCCAGCGGGAAGGTAAATGGCGTTTCTGTGCGCTGCTCTGGTTCGCACGATTGTCGTTGAGAAAATCCACAAATACGCACAGCGTGTGGCACTGGTTGCTGGGGATGCACCCCCCCAGTGGGCACTGTTCGCATCCCCCCCCCCGGCAGGCGGAGCTCACATCCCCAGCGGGCAGCACCAGGCCTATTTGCGCGATCAGCGGGCAGTGCTGGCACCCCTTGGAGGATCACCCCGCCCCCGGCTGCACATCATGGTTCCCCCCCCCAATTATTTTTATTCATTTTATAACGAATATAAAGAACACAAACAGAAAAACAAACAATACAAAAATTCTCGTCATATCCTTATTTTTCTATACATTGTTAGGTGGGCTTCCCCAAGTCTCATCTATCTGATTTTCATTTTTCTTCATTTAGCAATTTACATATATCTAATTTCTAACCATCTAACAATTTCTAACCATCTTTTTTTTATCACACTTACTTTAACCATAAAAAACCTCATCACTTACAAATAATACTATTTTAAACCCTACAGCCTATATCTGCTGCCAAAGCTATTCTAAGATTTAAATATTAACATATAACATAATAATTTATTACGGCCGTAGGCCCATACAGATAAAAACAAGACATAAATAACAGTCTGTGCACATGGGAAAAAACAGCCACTAAAACACTACTATAACAATAAAATACTATAAGATGGAATGGCATACTACGCCTTAATTAGCTTGTGGTGCTCCTTGGCAACGCTTTTGGGTAAGGACAGCGACCAGGAACCTAGCCACTTTCAGGGTCGTATGGGTATCCTTATCCTGCAAGATTTGGGCAAGGTGGAATTTTGGTGGGGTACTCTCTAGTTTCTGTATGATTGATCCCAACAAATTTGCCCGTGGCACATTGAATAAGGGGCAAGTGAACATAATGTGCTGAAGCGACTCCGGCGTCTCCTTATCACATTCGCACATGGCGGAGGCTTGGCCCTTTGAGAATCTATGTCTCAGGACATTGGAGGGGAAAACGTTAAACCTCGCTTTGGTGAAGGCCAGCCTATGGGCAACAGTCGAAAGGGAGGAGAGGTATGATGGAACGCAGTAAGTTAAAGTGATACCAATGTTCTGGGGCGAACAAACACCTCCCCCCAGCGTATAATTTCGCTGTAAATCGATGTCGTCCAGTCTTTGGCGGATCAGTCTTTGAGCAGTGATTTGATCTAGTTTTAGGGAATCTGAGGGAGAGATTCCATAACTCAGGAGTTTGGCATGAATTCTACTAGTCCAAAGGCTGGAGAATTCATCTCGCCATAAGCATTGGACAAGGTAATGGTCTGGTAATCTATGCCACAATGATAACCAATAATTGAAGACTTGCTTCCACAGGCAAGTTTCTAAGGATGCAATCTTCAATTCTAGTCGCATGGCTGCGTTGCTTACGCACAGGGGGAGCATTAGGAGCCGACGTAGGAATTGGTTTTGCAGAGTCTCAAGAGGAGCAAGGTCTGTCATCACGGCCCAGAGCGGGGCAGCATAAGCAAGCACGGGAACCACTTTTGCCTTGAACACCTTTAGGGCCGAGGGAACATGCAAAGCTCCATCCGAAAAGAAAAATCGGAGGAGCGCATATGACAGAGTTTTGGCCTTGTTAAGTAGGTGTTGAATATGTGCTTTCCACCCCAAATTGTATTGAAAAATAACTCCTAGGTATTGAAATTTTAGGACTTGCTCTATTTTTGCTCCACCAAGCTTCCATTCGTATAATCTCCGACTTCTGGCGAAAATCAGAATCTTAGATTTAGCATGATTGATGGTTAATTGATTGAGTTGACAATACGTGGCAAAGATCTTCAGAGCTCTGGTTAGTCCAACACGTGTATAAGATAGAATTACCGCGTCGTCCGTATATAAAAGGAGTGGACAGCGGTAATCCGCTAGTCTAGGCGCATGTGTACTTGGAGATGAGTTGACTAGGGGTGCTCGCATGTCGCTGATGAATAGATTGAATAGGCAGGGAGCCAATATACATCCTTGGCGCACTCCCTTGTTTATTGGTATCGAATTTGTGAGGTCGCCCGCAGGAGTAAGTCTCACTCTGGCAAGGGTACCTTCGTGGAGCTGACTTATAAGCCATAGGAGTCTTCTATCGATGCCCTGTTTCGCAAGTTTCTCCCAAAGAATATTTCTAGGAACGCTGTCAAAGGCTGCCTTTAGATCTAAGAAGGCAGCACACAGGTAGCCCCGGGGAGGGGAGGAGTACTTCCGTGCCAGGTGGTAAAGAACTATCGCATGATCAGTTGTAGAGCGTTTAGTTCTGAACCCTGCTTGTTCGTGGCCAATCTGGTTGGTCTCATCTACCCATCGCAATAGTTTCGTCAGCAAAAAGCTGGCATAAATTTTCCCTATGATCGAAAGGAGACTGATGTTACGGTAATTTTCCGGCTCCATTGGAGAACCTTTTTTATGGATTGGTACTATAATGGCCTCCTTCCATATTTTGGGGATGAGACCAGAAGCGTTGATTGCGTCGAAGGTTTTGGCCAAGATGCCAGCCCACCATTTTGGGTGTAGTTTGATGGCTTCAGCAGGGATCAGGTCGGGCCCTGGGGCTTTGCCCGATTTCAGCTGGGCTATTAGCTTGGCTATTTCGTCAGGATCGGTGGGAGGCCAGATAGGTAGGTGGGAAAACAGATGCACCAGATGGTCGGCGGGAGCATCTGCCTGTGAGAAACATTTCTTCAGGAACACTTCCCATGTCGGTGCAGGGATGACTGCCCTTGGGTATTTCCTCACCCTTCTGTTAATCAGAGACCAGAATTCCCTAGATCTATGTGATTTTGAAGCAGTAATCAAGGCCTGCCAGCGATTATGTTGCCACTCACGTTTGGCAATTTTCTGCGTGCGTTTGTAAACTTGCTTGGCTTGTGCATAACTAGCTGGCAGAGTGGATGCATCGGAGGTCTTATATACATTGTATATAGCACGAAGGCGCTGTCTTGCTTGTTTGCACTGAGAGTTATACCAGGGGGCACCGTAAGTATGCTCGTTTCGATTTAATATTTTGGGTGGTAGCCTGAAGAAGGACGTAAGATCAGTCGTAAGATGGTGGAAGCGTTTCAACACTATGTTGTGCTCGTCTGAGGCAGAGCCTATGTAGGGATGGGGCCCGAGGATTTCTTTTTGAAAGAATTCCTGATACCTTTGAGCCTGGGTCTCCGACCATTTGATTCCTCTTACTTGGAGAGATACGTTGGTTACCATCTGGGTCGCATGTCTATAGGCCTCCGACTGCCAATTCAGGGAAAGCTTGGCTACAAGGGGAAGATGATCACTAGATTGTACATTCTCGATCTTAAAGGTGGAAATACACTTAAGTAGATCACTGGAGACCAGCAGGTAATCGAGGACGCTGTTTGATTTAACACTCAGGTGAGTGAAATCCCCTGGAATATCAGGGAGGCATGTGCCATTTAGGGGGACCAGATTTAAACGGATGGCCATTTGGTAGAGGAATACTCCAGCCTCATTAACTCGTTGGTCTTTAGAAGTTCTCCTCATGATATGTTCCAGATCATAATTATCAAGGTTTGGGGTAACCCACCATTTGGCTTTGGTCAGCGAGTCCCAATTTGCTGCTGTGCGAGCATTAAAATCGCCACCTATTATGGCCGGGGTGTTAGGAAACTTGACATAGCATGAGAGCAAGTGCTCTTCTAGCGAGCCCCATTTAGAGCCCAGTTCGGAGGAAGGACCCCCGGGTGGCAAGTAAACATTTGTAACTAGAAGTAAATATTAACATTTTTCCCCACAAATATTCCTTAAACTTCTTCCAATCCCTGTTTGCCGCTCTGGGTGCCTGAGCAGTTTCCTCCGTCACTGGGGACCCCAAATGTTCTGCCCCCCAACCTGGTCTGAGATATCACCCCCCCTACCTTGTTGATAGCGATGGTGAAGGCCGCCTCCTCCTGCGTCTCGACGTCTTTGGGGTGCCGGTAGCAGAGGAGGTTGGAGCCCCGCAGGAGGCAAAAGAGCCGCAGCCAGCCCTGCTGCTCCCCCTGCTGCACAAATGGGGGGGGGAGAGGGGGTGTTTAGCAGGAGGGAGACCCACACGCTATCTCTCCACATTCATCCCTCCCCAAGACAGGCGCTGTCCTTCTTCTCTGCCTGCCCCTCAAATCCCTTTCACCCATGCTCAGAAACCCCTTCTGGGTGGGGGGGGCACTTCCCATAACAGAAACACTCCGACTGGAATTGAAGCTCCGTTGGGAGAGAACAAGCCTCACGGCAGCATCGCCTCTCAATTTTTTCCCTCTGGGCCACTTTCAGAATATTTGTAGTCAAGTCAAGTCAAGTAAAAGTAAAGTAGAAATTGTATACCACCATACACTCACAGGTAAAAAAATTTGCTTGTGCCACACCAAATTTTTTACTGATAAGAAATACATTGGAAAACAGAAAGAAAGAACTCCTAGCAGTGTCTGATTTATAACATAGAACACAACTACCATATTTTTCGCTCCATAAGATGCACCTGACCATAAGACACTTAGTTTTTAGAGGAGGAAAACAAGAAAAAAAATATTCTGAATGAAACAGTGGATGTATGATTTTTGTGGTCCATGCTGTGGCCACAGACATGTGATCTGATGGTGAATTTGGGGTGACCCAATGCAAAAACCCTGAGGATCCATGGGCATTTACCTCCCCCCTCGCAGGCAGCCTCCTTTATCTCTAGAGTCCCTTATCTCCCTCCCGATCGCTTGCCAATCAGCTGTTTCCTTTCAACACTTCCCTCTGGTTTTCCTTAGCTGGAGCAGTTTTTTTGCTCCTCCTCTTCTTCTAATTCCTCTAGTCTTCCTGTTTCCCCCCTTTGCAAGTTTGCTGTCTTTACCTCCCCCAGCAGCCTCCTTTATCTCTAGCGTCCCTTATTGTTTCAACACCCCCTTCCCTCTTTCAAAAAAAAAAGGATGATCTGCTTTTCGCCCCTGGGCAATTCGGCTCTAGGGACCACACATTCGCTCCATAAGACGCACAGACATTTCCCCTTAATTTTTAGGAAGAAAAAAGTGTGTCTTGTGGAGCGAAAAATACACTGTTTATTATTCCTTCCTCAGGTTTGTGAGTTCAGCAGAGTACATCCCTTTGCAGCTTAAAAAGGGAGCCATATGATCCTGGGAATCCAGAAAGCGTAAAACAAGGATATGAGTCATTCCCAATATATAATTACAAACAAGCCTCTTCCATATGTTCCCTAAGTATGTATATGATCTCAGTGGGAGACATGAGCTTCCTTTCGCTGGGTAATCTCATTTCTATTTGGTCTAATTTGAGACAAGGAAGCTCTCATCTCCCCATCGACACAGAGAAGCCTTTCTACCCATATTCTGCAAATAATTAAAAAAATCATTTTGACACTATACTATGCTCAAATGTTTCCTTGTATCTGCCTGCCACACCCTTGGGAGTCACATCACTACAGCGTAAGGACCGAAGAAGAGACTGCAGGATGAGGCCAGAGGGGCCATTGAGTCATTCAGCCAACGAGATGCCCCAAGGGGAAACCAGCAAGCCAGACCCGAGTGCGAGAGCAGCCCTCTCCCCTCTCTGTGTCCTGGCAGAGGTTGCTGTGAACTAGCTCTACCTCTCTTTCAAATCAGAACCAGTGAAGGAGGTGAAGGTCCTGTGTGAGTGCCTGGAGGCGGTTGGAGGATGGATGGTGGCTAACAGATTGAGGTTGAATCCTGACAAGACAGAAGTACTGTTTTTGGGGACGGGGAGGGCAGGTGTGGGGGATTCCATGGTCCTGAATGGGGCAACTGTGCCCCTGAAGGACCAGGTGCGAAGCCTGGGGGTCATTCTGGACTCCCAGCGGTCCATGGAGGCGCAGGTTAACTCTGTGTCCAGGGCAGCTGTTTACCAGCTCCATCTGGTACGCAGGCTGAGACCCTACCTGTCCGCGGACTGTCTCACCAGAGTGGTGCATGCTCTGGTTATCTCCCGCTTGGACTACTGCAATGCACTCTACGTGGGGCTACTTTTGAAGGTGACCCGGAAACTACCGTATTTTTTGCTCTATAAGACGCACCCGACCATAAGACGCTCCTAGTTCTAGAGGAGAACAAGGAAAAAAATATTCTCTCCCTCTCTGCGCAGCGCCACTCCAGCGAAGCGAAGTCAGAACAGCAAGAGGGATTGCTGCATAGTGAAAGCAGCGATCCCTCTTGCTTTTCTGGCTTCTGGGATAGCCATGCCACGCCTCTTCAGGGCAGGAGGAGCGTTCCTCCCATTGCCCTGAAGAGGCTTTGCACGGCTATCGCTGAAGCCAGGAGAGCTTGGCTTCTGTGATAGCTGTGCAGCCTGCATTCGCTCCATAAAACGCACACACACATTTCCCATGACTTTTTAGGAGGAGATAACTGCGTCTTATAGAGTGAAAAATACGGTACAACTAATCCAGAACGCGGCAGCTAGACTGGTGACTGGGAGCGGCCGCCGAGACCACATAACACCGGTTATGTGAAAGATCTACATTGGCTCCCAGTACATTTCCGAGCACAATTCAAAGTGTTGGTGCTGACTTTTAAAGCCCTAAACGGCCTCGGTCCAGTATACCTGAAGGAGCGTCTCCACCCCCATCGTTCAGTCCAGACACTGAGGTCCAGTTCTGAGAACCTTCTGGTGGTTCCCTCCCTGTGAGAAGCCAAGTTACAGGGAACCAGGCAGAGAGCCTTCTCGGTGGTGGCGCCCGCCCTGTGGAACGCCCTCCCACCAGATGTCAAATAAATAAGCAACTATCTGACTTTTAGAAGACATCTGAAGGCAGCCCAGTTTAGGGAAGCTTTTAATGTTTGACGGACTATTGTATTTTAATATTTTGTTGGAAGCTGCCCAGAGTGGAAGGGTCCACAGTCCGGATTTACAGGCCTGGTGGGCCACATCCAGCCCCCGGACCGTAGTTTGCCAACCCCTGAATTAGATCGTTATAACGAAAGAAATAAATCTATACAGAAAACTGTGTTTTAAAATTCTCTGCTCTCTTGCGCCATCTGGTGTGGCATGTTTACAGCGCATCCAAATTGCTGCATCTTTCCTAATGTAGCTGAGACGGAGTGAGAGAGAAGGGGTGGAGGGGAATCAACCCGTCTCCTGAGCGCATGGCTCTCGATGGGTCCCAAAACGCGGGTCCCCTGTCTTCTCAGCCCCTTCCCTACCTGCAGTGCCCCCCCCAGCACTTACCTGCACCTTCAGGAAGCCGCACATCACCTGGTGGAGCATGCAGTTGGGCTGGGCTGCCAGGCGACAGCAGACACTGCCGTACAGGGGGAGCCAGAAGGAGCTCTCCTCTGGAGGGGGGGAGAAGAGGAGGGGGTCAGGGGGAGGCAGGTCTGAGCCCCAAAAGAGGGACGAGGGGGCAGGGGGCTTCGTCCCTCCTGGAAAAAAGAGGCCACTTGCCCACCTACATTGGCGGAACTGGCTCAGTGGCAGCAGCTCCACGAAACATCAAGAGACGTCGGAACTCCCCGCCACTTGACTCTGGACTTTTTTGGGGACCTCCTGAAAATAGTCTTGGTGAGAGAAGCCTGCCCAGACATTAGAAAGACGAATGATGTTTCAGTCCATTTTTAGCCTATTGTCGTTTTTTTCAACTCTTTTTCGAAGGAAGGGGGAGAGACTTCCCCAGGCAAGGCCTTTTTCCACCTGCCTTGCTCCACCCTCCGGCCTCTGCTCCTCAATTTGTGTTTTATTCTTTTATGCCCTGTGGCTTGCCGTTGTTTTATCGATTGCAGTTTAGAAATTATTTATTGTAATTGTTAAGAGTCCATTTCTGTTTAATTTTCATATGCTGATATTATTATTATTCTATACTAGTCTAACGATTGTTGAATGTTACATTTTTGATGTTGATTGCTTATTTTAAAGTTATGTTTTCTCATCACATTTTTGTACCGCATTGATTGTTCTAAGATGTACATTCCTTGTTTCTTCAGCTTGTATCGTAAGATAGAAAGAGGGTCCACAAATTAAAAGTGATGATGATGATTGTTGCTAATTTTGTCATTGCTAATATTATGTTTTATAAACCACTCTGATGTTTGTTTTACAAAAAAGCGGTGCATAAATCTCAAGGCTGCCTTCTCGGTGGTGGCACCTGCCCTGGGGAACACCCTCCCATCAGATGTCAAGGAAATAAACAACTATCTGACTTTTAGAAGACATCTGAAGGCAGCCCTGTTAGGGAAGTCTTTAATGTTTGGTGTTTTATTGCACTTTTCATTTTCTGTTGGGAGCTGCCCAGAGTGGCTGGGGAAACCCAGCCAGATGGGCGGGGTATAAATAATAATAATATTAATTATTATTATTATTATTATTATTACAGGAGCAGAGCCAAAGCACCCAAAGGCAACTCTTCTCCAAAGGGACCATTTCCCCAGGGCCTTTGAGGTGCGCCATGACGGCATTTCATGGGCATCTCACTTGCACAATTCCAACCAGACGCAGTTGAAGGAGGAATGCTTGAAACTGCAAGTTTTGTCGAGATTCCGGGGCTCTGGAACGGATCCCGGACTCAAAACAAGATACCACTGTATTACTACTACTACTACTATCATCATCATTAAACCACCAGTTTTAAAACATACAAAAAGTTGAAACACTAAAAGAGATTAAAACCCGCATCAACTTTCCAAACATCTGGGCAGACTTTCTCTAATCAGGAATGTTTTTAGCAGGAGCCAAAAATAGGCAGGGAGTTCCGCAGTGGAGCAAAGAGCTTTTGAGCTCTCCCTGCCTTGCCCACATAGGGGACCCTCTGCCCCCCCTGCCCACCCACTAGCTGGCTCCCGCAATTTGGGTCTCTTTCCATGTCTGCACAAAACCCACGGAGCCAAACTGGACTCTGGAACGTTCCTGCTCCCGCAAACCCAAACCCAACAACCCCCCCCCAAACCCTGCTCCAAGTACCGTTCCCGGTGACGGCGAGGTCGTGGGTGCGAAAGGCGTCTTGGACGTGGGCCAGGCGCAGGGTGGTACAGGCCAGCAGCTGGTACTTGGGGCCCCTGGAAGGAAGCAGAGGCGGGTGAGACCGGAGGGGGCGGGCAGCGGGTGCGAATTCTGCGGAAGACGGCCGGGCCCAGGATACTCACGCCACGCTGGGGGCTGGCAGCTGGAGGGGGCTGCTTCCCCCGTTGCTGAGGGGGCTCCCGGGCACCCCGTCCAGGGCGGCACGGACCCTCTTGCCGGACGAGCGCCCCAGGGAGCTGCTCAGGCGGCTGGCCAGCTTCTTGGGGGTGCTGCCCAGGACAGAGTCCTCCTCCAGGCCAGCGCTGTACAGCTCCACCTTCAGCTCAAAGTCCGGACCGGCCTCCGTGCTGGGGGGAGACAAAGCGGGGGGCACAGGCGTGAAAGGGGGGTGCTCCCAGGCAGCCCAGAATATCACCCGAGGAAGGACTTCGAATATAAAATACAACTTACAGCACGGAAGAGGATATAGAACTGGAAGGAGACAGCGTGTTACAGGTGAAACTCGGAAAATTAGACTATCGTGGAAAAGTTCATTTATTTCTGTAATTGAATTTAAAAGGTGAAACTAATATTTGAAGCTAATTCATCGTGCCAAAGGCTGGGCTGGATGAATCCCAAGCCGGAATTAAGATTGCCAGAAGAAATATCAACAACCTCAGATATGCAGATGACACAACCTTGATGGCAGAAAGTGAGGAGGAATTAAAGAACCTTTTAATGAGGGTGAAAGAGGAGAGCGCAAAATATGGTCTGAAGCTCAAGATCAAAAAAACGAAGATCATGGCCACTGGTCCCATCACCTCCTGGCAAATAGAAGGGGAAGAAATGGAGGCAGTGAGAGATTTGACTTTCTTGGGCTCCATGATCACTGCAGATGGTGACAGCAGTCACGAAATTAAAAGACGCCTGCTTCTTGGGAGAAAGGCGATGGCAAACCTAGACAGCATCTTAAAAAGCAGAGACATCACCTTGCCAACAAAGGACTGTATAGTTCAAGCTCTGGTTTTCCCAGTCGTGATGTATGGAAGTGAGAGCTGGACCATAAAGAAGGCTGATCACCGAAGAATGGATGCTTTTGAATTCTGGTGCTGGAGGAGACTCTTGAGAGTCCCATGGACTGCAAGAAGATCAAATGCATCCATTCTTAAGGAAATCAGACCTGAGTGCTCACTGGAAGGACAGATCGTGAAGTTGAGGCTCCAATACTTTGGCCACCTCATGAGAAGAGAAGACTCCCTGGAAAAGACCCTGATGTTGGGAAAGATGGAGGGCAGAAGGAGAAGGGGACGGCAGAGGACGAGATGGTGGGACAGTGTTCTTGAAGCTACCAGCATGAGTTTGACCAAACTGCAGGAGGCAGTGGAGGACAGGAGTGACTGATGTGCTCTGGTCCATGGGATCACGAAGAGTCAGACACGACTAAACAACAACAAAAAATATATGAGATAGACTCATGACATGCAAAGCGAGATATGTCAAGCCCTAGAGAATCTATGGGGCATTGCCAAGAGAAGAATGAGAGACATGAGACCGAGCAATGCAGAAGAGCTGAAGGCTGCTACTGAAGCATCCTGGTCTTCCATAACACCTCAGCAGTGCCACAGGCTGATAGCATCCATGCCACGCCGCATTGAGGCAGTAACTGATGCAAAAGGGGCCCAAACCAAGCACTGAGTACATATGCATGCTTCTACCTCTCAGAGGTCCAATATTGCTCTATTTGCAGTCCTTGTTTTGCTGATTTCATTTAATATTCTAATTTACTGAGATTGTTAATTTGGGGTTTTCATCAGCTGTATGCCATGATCATCAAAATTATAACAAAGAAAGGCTTGACATATCTCGCTTTGCATGTCATGAGTCTGAAATAAATGAACTTTTCCACGATATTCTACGTAATTTTCCAAGTTTCACCTGTACATTTGGAAAGAAAATTATATGACAACTCCTCGGCCGACCACGGATTCTTCAACCACGGTTGGGACTGCAATCAGCTTTCAGAATTGAAAACTGGCAGTGATCTACTCCCGGTTTTGGGGGGTTCAGATTTTTTGGGAAGGAAAGCCCCACTTTTAAGGAGTTCAGCTCAGTGTTGTTTAGCCAGAGATCAACCGTGATCTACCAAAACCTCACGGGGATCTACCAGTAGATCGCGATCAACCTGTTGGACATCCCTGGGCTAGAACATGGGTAGGCAAACTAAGACCCTGGGGCCAGATCCGGCCCAATCGTCTTCTCAATCCGGCCCGTGGACGGTCCAGGAATCAGCCTGTTTTTACATGAGTAGAATGTGTCCTTTTATTTAAAATGCATCTCTGGGTTATTTGTGGGGCATAGGAATTTGTTCATTTATTTATTTTTCAAAATATAGTCTGGTCCCCCACAGGGTCTGAGGGACAGTGGACCAGCCCCCTGCTGAAAAAGTTTGCTGACCCCTGGTCTAGATGGCCTCTGGGGGTCCCTTCCAACTCTGCAATCATTCTATGCATCACTTAAGTGCCTGTTTGCGCCAGCCAACCCCTCCTGCCCCCCAGGGTCCGTCCCCTCGCAGATCTCCGGACCCCCCAAAGGACAAAAAAACCCTCTCTTCCCCCCCAAATGCCAAAGAACCCAGAGCCCCCAAAATCCCCTTTTAAAAAGCCAACTCTTGAAAGATTCTGGGGGAAAGGAGAAACACCGCTTTCTCCGCACGGATCCTTTTCCAAGACTTGCCGCCTCCCGCACGGCCGTGGGGACCCCCAGGTTTCTGCCCCAAGGGGGCAGGCAGTGGGGCAGGGACTCACAAGAGGATGGTGCTCTCAAAGCAGATGTCGGTCAGGGTCCGATCCACCAGCACCATCTCCGTGTCGTAGATTTCTGGGCCGATCTGAAGCAGGCAGAAGACGGCGCAGCGGTGCAGCTCTGCCAAGGAACGAGGGGCATTTAGGTGGCACCGGCGCCTCTCGGACCCCCCCAAGCTCCAGCCAGCCCCACAAGGCCCAGGGAGGGAGAGGGGGAAGAAGAAGAGTTGGCTTGGAGAGGAGGCGCCCGGCTTCGGAAGTGGGCACCCGGCTCAGATCATGGGGCGTCCGAACAGCGCCAGAGGTGCCATGCGCAGGAAGCAAAGGCGTGCGCCGTCGGAGGGGCCACCACCAAGAAGGACTCACCGCCCTTGTTCTTGAAATATTCCGTGTCCTTCCACATCAGTGGGATCCGGAGGTCTGGAAAGAGGAGGAGATACAACATCATGTCTTATGCAATAAAGTCTTCTGTGAAAAGCTCCCAATAATGTTGTATAAATATCTGGTACTTTTAATTGTTATTTTCTTTTTCTTTTCTTGTTACTTTTAAACTTTTTGTACTTTCCCCCCCAATTTTTTTTATTGATTTTCCTTTTTTTTTTTAAACAAACACAAATCTCAACCGTATTTAAACCAAACTTAGTAACATTGTTAAGTGACTTCCTCGTATCCCCCTGGTTGAATTTCAGTGTATATCATTCTAACGATTTTCCAAATCCAATATTCTTAAAAAGTTAACCTCATCACTTAACATCTTCCTTTCTTTCCAGTTCAGCATTAAACATATTAATTCATCACATTACATATTTAAGTCCTAAGCCTGTCTGGTATTTGCAAGCTTTTCCAATTAATTTAACTTAACATATTTAACTAAATAGTTAAACTTTTTGTACTTTTTGATGTGGAGAATTCTCCCCCCCCCCTTTTCTTTTTTCTTTTCCTTTTTTTCCTTTTCGGTGCTTAACTTTGTCGTAATTACCTTTATTGTAAGGCTGTATTTTAAACCATTAAAGATGCATTTATAAAAAATTTAAAATGGAAAGAGGAGGAGATAAAGAGGGTTTGCTTGCATCCCCAAATGTGTCCAGGCAGGAAGAGGCCTGCAGGTAACATAGTGGGGGCCCAGACATCTAAGCCAGGGGGTCCCCAAGTGGGGCCACGAAGGGGCAGGGAGGTGGCAGGGGGGGCTGGAGGCACAAATGATTCCCAGGCTTTGGAAAACTGGTCTGACGATGATACACATGTGCTGGAATTGTAGGAAAATAAGGGAATTTAGGGATTCAATATATATATATATAATGAGCTCAAAAAGATGTTTAAAATCTCTTTTTTGGGGGGGGAACCCCAAGCCTTTCTACTGGGTATAACAGGTATGGATATTCCCCAAAATATGAAGAATATGGCAGCAAGAATCTTACTAGCCAAAAATTAGAAAGGAGACTCTATCCCGACCAAAATGGATTGGCAGACAAAATTATTAGAATTTACAGAATTGGCAAAGATGACAAGAAGAATTAGAGATAATATAGACCAAATGTTTATTAGAAAGTGGGATATTTACAGAAAAAGAGCATTAAAAAAATGTGAGTTCTCTGGCGGGCTTAGCAGGACCCCGGTAGAAACAAAGAAAATCTTATAAAAATAAGGATATGGGATAAGATGGGAGCGATAACAAAAAGTGTGCTACATAAAAGAAACCCTTGATGGTATGACTGGAAGTCATAATGGAAGCAGCGTTGTAAGAAATCTATTTACTTTTTGCAATTTGTATTATCCTTTGGTTTTTCATTTGTTGACAGTTTATTCTTTTTTTAAAATAATAACGCGATTTTTAAAAAAAGGAAAACTGGTCTGACGGAATCAAGTGCTTCCATTTTGTGGAATTAATTAAACTCAACAGCTGAAATTGCATTTTGGAGGCATGTGCAATTAATTGTCACCGTTTTGAATTTTGTTGCCTGGACGGCCACCCTTGGCGGGTCGTGCAAGCTGCTGTATTCTGAATAATGTTCTTATTTCACTGGGAACAAAATGTCTGGGAGTTGATCTAAAGCATGAATATGCCTTTGGTCTCCTCCAGAACATGCCTCAAGCATTCTTTACAAATCAGTAACAATTCTTGAAAGCCAATTATAGGGACAATATAGAATCACAGAAGGGGTCCCCCAGGTCATCTAGTCCAACCCCCGGCAATGCGGGAATTTGGGCAGAGGGAAGGCCATTTTTGCACCCAGAAACAGCTCCCCTTTGGGCTCTGGGCCTGGAAGGGGTCCGGCTGGGCTGCACCTGCAGCCAGGTGGGTCACGGCATCCTTACCTGAGATGCAGACTCTGCCTCGGCAGGGCAGGCGGTCGTCCACGGGACCAGCGTCTGAGGGGCTGAGGGGGAGAAAGGGCTGTCAGAGACACAGGGAGGACCCCCACACACACCGCCTGCCCCCCCAAAACCCCACTCCAGCATCACGGGAGAGTTCAGGCTACACTCTTGATTGACAACTCCAAGGATGTGGGGAAGCAGAACGACTGCCTCAGCTGCGTTCTTCATTTAAAAATTTATTTTAGAAGAGTCATATGCTACTATTTATTTTTTAAAAAGTTTCATGGCAGCATGCAGATTTTAATTAAAATTAATAATAATAATAAATAATAATAATAATAATAATAATAATAATAATAATAATAATAATAATAATAATAATTTATTTATACCCCGCCCATCTGGCTGAGTTTCCCCAGCCACTCTGGGCGGCTCCAAACAAAATATTAAAAATACAATAAATCATTTTTGAGTATGTTTGATGTTGTCAATTGCTTTTACTTCAATACTGTCTTTTAGTTTGCGTATCACCTTGTGGTCTTTTAGTCCAGTACGGTAGTAGTAATAATAATAATAATAATAATAATAATAATAATAATAATAATATACTCCCCTTCATCCGTGAATCATACCCACACCATTAAAACAGATTTAACAGTCCAAGGGGTGGATTAAGAGAGCAGCAGTGCCTCATTCAGAAAAGAGTCAGAAGTAGGTGGTAGCAGTAGGAATGGATAGTCAGAATGAAAAGAACAGTCATAATCTCAGAGAAGTGTAGGGCTGGAGGGGAACCAAAGGGTCATCTAGCTCAACCCGCTGCAACACAGGATTCTCACCAGAGGCCTCCTGCGAAAGGCCAACTCAGCTGCTCCCAAGAGGAGGCTGAGCAAACTTCCCTCGCCCAAAGAGGGTCCCCCCCAGGCTCTTCTGCCGCAGGAACTCCCTCCCCGGAAGAGCCAGCCTAACCTCGAATCCAGCCCCTTTGGACAACCCAGGAGGCGTCAAAGGCAGCCCCCTTCCCAACCCCACACTAAGCTCTTGGGGCGCTCCTGTAGGTGCACAGCTCCTCTCCATGCTGCCCCCCCCCAGCTCTCCCGTGTTGCAGGAATTTATGTATAGGTTGGGGGGGGTTGCCCCTCCAGCAGATATCATGCACATGCAGCCCACTACCAAAATCAGCATCGCTTTTGTGACTTTTGTGATTTGTCCCCACAAAACACTTCATCACAGTTTCTTCCTTTCTGTTCAACGGGCCTCTGCTGCACAATACCAAATGTAAGAATTCACTGATCAATGGATCTATGTACTGGCTCACTGGAAAAACTTCAGAAATTCATATAGACCTGTGAGCTCAGCTACTCAGCAGCCCCTCTGCCTGAGGGATAATTCCTGGCATCCTGATACCTGAGTGCCAGACAGGTAGCCCTTCCAGAAAGAACAAACCCAGATGAAGACAAAAGGGTGAGATGAACTTGGCTGGGAAACAGGGAAATGTAAATATCTTTTTTGTTTAACTTGATGGGTGTTTGGTGGAGGGCAAGGGGAACCATGGGGCAGGGTCCAGGATGCTCAGATTCCTGCCACCAGACCTCCCCTTTCATGATGTATGAGTGATGTAGTTGGGGGGGTGTAACATGGGGATTAAAGGTAAAGGGACCCCTGAGCATTAGGTCCAGTCGTGGCCGACTCTGGGGTTGCGGCGCTCATCTCGTTTTATTGGCCAAGGGAGCTGGCGTCCAGCTTCCGGGTCATGTGGCCAGCAGGACTAAGCCGCTTCTGGCGAACCAGAGCAGCGCACAGAAACGCCGTTTACCTTCCCGCCATTTATCCCGCTATTTATCTACTTGCACTTTGATGTGCTTTCGAACTGCTAGGTTGGCAGGAGCAACGGGAGCTCACCCCGTCATTGCGGGGATTCGAACCGCCGACCTTCCGATCGGCAAGTCCTTGGCTCTGTGGTTTAACCCACAGCGCCACCCGTGTCCCTAACATGGGGATTAGAAGCTAATAAAATTTAGGGTTCTCTTTTGCTTGGGGCTTCCATCTTGTTCCACCTGGTGGCAGGTGGGAGTCCTGTCGGGAGGGTCTTCAATCAAGACCAAGCCTACTGGCTGCTGTTTTGCTCTGGTCTTCCTGGCTGGGGTCCTTGGTTTTTGTCCAAGGGAGCCCTCAGATCTCCCTCCAGAGCCAGACCTCAGCCCCAGAGCATTCCTGAGCATGTGCAGAGTGCCAGCCCAGCCCTGAGGCTCTTCCTCCTCCCGGCTCTTCCTCCTCTTGGCCCAGGGCCGCACTGGCCCTCCTGCAGACATGCGCCGCGCACCTGCTGCCTCACTCACCGCCTGGCCATCCGCTGCATGACTTGCGCCTCCTTCATGCGCTGAAGCTCCGCCATGTAGGCCAGGATGCGGCTGTTGCAGACCAGCAGGCTCTTGGTGACCTCCAGGGCCTGCTGGCGCTGGGTGCAAGCCGCCAGGAGCTTGCAGGCGCCTTCGCGCATGCGGATCTCATGGTCGATCTTCTTCTGGATATCGGTGCCCTGCGAGGGGGGGAGAAATGAAAGGGGGGAGCATGTGAATGAAGCTGGGGGGGCAGTCCAAGAACCCCACTCCACTCATTTAATAATAATAATAATAATAATAATAATAATAATAATAATAATAATAATAAATTTTATTTATATCCCGCTCTCCCCAGCCAAGACCAGGCTCAGGGCGGCTAACACCAAATCTAAAAAAATTGATTGAAATACAGCTTAAAAAACAAGATCAAAATACACCATAAAAACATTAAAATGCAGCCCATTAATAATAATAAGTTTTATTTATACCCCGCCCTCCCCAGCCAAGACCGGGCTCAGGGCAGCTAACACCAAATTAAAAAACAAGCTTAACGATTAAAATACAACATAAAACATTAAAATGCAGCCGCATTTCAGTGGAAACTCAAATAAAAAACTTTTTGGGGATGAAAACATCAAGGCTTACTATCTAGACTGCTCCTACGTGGGCCAGAAAATTTATTATCCCAGGCATATCCCACTTCTCCTCCAAGGAGCTCCAAGCTGCTTGACCTCCCCCTCCAGTTAGGGTGCCTGGGACCATAACAAATGGCCTGGGACAGGATTGGGAAGTGGAGGTAGAGGGTGCCCCATAAACGAAGAAAGAAACACCCCCCCCGGACTCAGCTTTCGTGACAGCTGTGTGTCTTTTGGGGGGGTGAGAGGAGAGAAGCAGCCCCTGTTCTCAACGGCCAGAGTGCTCTGAGCATGCGCAGAGCGCTCCCCACCTCTCACAGGCTCGAAATGTCGGGCCCTTTCTGTGGGGCAAGGGAAAGCTGACCTGCCCCAGTCTACAGCCTCTGGGGAGCCAAAGTGTTTATTTTGGGGGGGGAGGCGTCTCCAAACCGCACCCCAAACGATGACTGGGGGGGTGTTCAGAATCAATTGCCTTCCTGACTGTCAATTTCCCAAAACGCCTTCATGCTGCTGTTAAATATTATTATTATTATTATTATTATTATTATTATTATATCATCATCATTATTTAAATATTATTATTATTGTATATTAAAATATATCATGATAAAGGGAAACATTTTCCTGTGGTTGGTGCCCCCACCCAAAAAATACCAGGCTCCACGGTCTCCCACCTGCCACCCAGGAAGACCCCCGATCTTTGAGTGAGAATGGATGACCCCCAGAACCCACCATCAGGGCGAGAGCTCAGCCTCTGAACATGCAAAGCCCCACCTCTGTAAAAGGTTCCTGAGCTTGTGCAGAGTGCCTCCCCCTCAACACGCACAGTGTCACAGTAGACCTATCGAATTCCTGGGACCCCCAGGGTCATGGGGTCCAAGGCAGGAACCCCAACTAAAGCACCTGTGTCAGGTGGCCCTCCAAGCTCTGCTGAAAAACCGGGGTTCAACAGGGAAAGCTCCGGGGGCAGAGTCTCTTGCCCCCCACCACCCCTTGCACAATGGACATTATGTACCAAAGACGGGGTGGAGAGATCTGAAAGGAGGGATACAATCTGCGGGGGGGGGGCAAATTCCTTCCTTCTGCCCTGCGTTGCTGGGGGGCTGGACTAGATGTCCTTTGGGGGCCCCCTTCCAACTCTCCAATTCTCTGCAGCCTTTTGCCCAGGCCAGAGGAAATCCCATTAGCATCCATTTTTGCCTCGGAGGCTTTGGGTAAGGGGGGGTCCCCTCGCGATTGACCCCTCCCACAATGCCCCTGCCGGATGCAGAGACCCCCCCTCTTGTCTCTACAGCTACGGACCCCCCCCAAAAAACCAGCCTCAACCGCCTCCCTCCCCCAGCCTGAAGGGCCGTGAAGCAGCAAAAAAAATCCAGCCAGCTTCTGGGGGGGGGAGAGGCCCCCCCTGGCAAGAAATGCCCTCCATCATGCCAGCCGCAGAGATGGGCAGGGGGGTCCCGCCTCCTCCAGGCCTCTCAGAGGGGAAACCCCAGCCCCTTCCTGGGGGGCTCCCCTCCTCACCCCCCAAGCGCCCCCCCCAGCCACTCACCTTGGCCAGCCTGCCGCTCTCCATGCCGGCGCCCCCTAACTTAGCCGCCGGCCCCCCATGCGGCAAAGGCGGTTCTGGCAGTGGGGCGGGTGACAGCTGGAGGGGGAGGGACGGGGGGGGCAGAGTCGGCGCAGCAGCTGAGGAAACTCTGACATCACCAGCTGCCTATTTATAGCCGGGTTGGGGGGGGACAGCTGGGCTGGGGAGACCGTGGCCTCCTCTGCCCCCCCCCAAATAAAATGGGGAGGGGGAAAGCAGGGGTCTGGTGGGGAAAAGGAGGGTGGGGAGCTGCTCCTCAGCCCCCCCAAAAAACCTACAGTGTTTGGGAGCCCCTCCCCTCTATGGGGCGGCTGAGAAAAGGGAAGGGGTCCCTGTTAGAGGGTTGCATTTGGGGGGGCAGATGGGGGGGCCATTTGCTCTTCATCCTTTGTGGGGCTGGAGGCACCCCAGAACTCAGGGATGGAGCAAGGGGGCCTCTCTTAGGCAAACTGATGGGGGGCCAAGGATGGGGGGCAGGTTTTGGGAGTTGGGCAAAGGGTGGGGGCAAAGGGTGGGGCTGGTATGGGGCTCAAAACTCTGCCCCCCCCACGGACCTCCAGCCTGGGCTAATCAGCTTGCGGCAGATTATGGCAGAGATGCTGAGGATTTAGCAGGGCTGGGAGGAAAATCTGGAGGGGGTGTGTGTGTCTGGCCAATGCCCCCCCCCCCAGGCAGTGGAGTCTGGCCAGCCGGGATTCTCCGCCAAAACCAACACAAAATCAGAGAGGGAAGGGGCCCCACGAGTCATCTAGACTAACCCCCCGCAATGCGGGAATCACAGTTGATCCTGACAGAGTCCCTCTGAGCACGAGCAGAGTGCCGCTGCTTCAGCGCCCAGCAGCCGGAACCAGTCCAGACCGACCCACTCAGAGGGGTGGAGAGAAGGGGGTCAGGGAAGGGGCTCCCTGCACCTCACATCCCCCCCCTTTTGTTGGAGTCGCACGAAGCGCCTTGGCCGAAACCATGACAATTATTATTGATTGCTATTTGTGAGCATATTGTTCGAGGACCAATCAGACTGCTGCATTTTGGATCCTATTCAACTCAGTACATCACAATATCTATCCCACCTTTTTCGCGTGCAGAGTTCTCCGTCTCCTCCTTTGACCCCCCCCCACAACAACCCTGCGAGGGAGGGGAGGCTGAGATGCGGTGACATGGCTGCGCGGGGATTCGAACCCGGGCCTCTCCCCCATCCTAGCCCAGTAGTCCAGCGCTCTAACCACTAGGCCATGTTGCCTCACCTTGGCCCAGCCAGGGACCAGACCAGCCTGCACAAGGCAAAAGCCTTGGAGGTCCTTCCTCCTCAAAGGTCTGCATCTCTGGTCTACCTGGCTTGTTTGGGGGGGGGCGAGCAACAGCGGAATGGGGGGGTCTGTCTGGGTCAAGGGCTTTCTGGCAGACCAGGGATGCCCAAACTGAGCTAAGGAAGGGGGACGGATCCTGCCTATCAAGTTGTTCGTTAAGTAAGACATCAGAAGAGCCTGTTGTTTCAGGTCAATGGGACCCACGCAGTTCAGGGTGGCCAAACATCATCATCATCATCATCATTATTAATAATAATAATAATAATACCCCGCCCATCTGGCTGAGTTTCCCCAGCCACTCTGGGCAGCTCCCAACAGAATATTAAAAAGACTATAAAACATCAAACATTAAAAACTTCCTTAAACAGGGCTGCCTTCAGATGTCTTCTAAACGTCAGATAGTTGTTTATTTCCTTGACATCTGGCGCCACCACCAAGAAGGCCCTCTGCCTGCTTCCCTGTAACCTCACAGATGCCCCGATGGGAAACCTGCAAGCAGAATTCGAACACAGGAGCCCTCTCCCCTCCTAGGGATTTCAGCCATGGGTCTCTTGCAGCGGGGAGTTCCACAGGTTAACATGAAGAAGGGATTCCTTCCTTGTCCTCTTCCTTCCTTGCCTCTGTTGGGCAAAAAAGCAGAGCTTGCCTGCCCTCACCTCCCAAAGAAGAGGGCCCAGGTGGAAAATGACTCAGGAAAGGGAAACGCAAAGGATCCAAGGATCTGGGTTCGACTGCCCTATGAGGAACAGTTGCAGCCGTGGGACTTGGAGAGAAAGTGAGGAAAAGGCAACGATGGCCTGGGAGTCATTCTGGACTCACAGCTGTCCATGGAGGCACAGGTTCAATTTCTGTGTGCAGGGCAGCTGTCTACCAACTCCATCTGGTACGCAGGATGAGACCCTCCCTGCCCACAGACTGTCTCTCCAGAGTGGTGCATGCTCTGGTTATCTCCCGCTTGGACTACTGCAATGCGCTCTACGAGGGGCTCCCTTTGAAGGTGACCCGGAAACTACAACTACAACTACAGAATGCGGCAGCTAGACTGGGGACTGGGAGAGGCCGCCGAGACCACATAACACTGGTCTTGAAAGACCTACACTGGCTCCCAGGACGTTTCCGAGCACAATTCAAAGTGTTGGTGCTGACCTTGAAAGCCCTAAACGGCCTCAGTCCAGTAGACCTGAAGGAGCGTCTCCATCCACCCCCATCGTTCAGCCCGGACACCGAGATCCAGCTCCGAGGGCCTTCTGGCGGTTCCCTCATTGCAAGAAGCCAAGTTACAGGGAACGAGGCAGAGGGCCTTCTCGGTGGTGGCACCTGCCCTGTGGAACGCCCTCCCATCAGATGTCAAAGAAATAAACAACTACCAGACCTTTAGAAGATATCTGAAGGCAGCCCTGTTTAGGGAAGCTTTTAATGTGTGACATTTTAGTGTATTTTTTGTCTTTGTTGGAATCCGCCCAGAGTGGCTGGGGAAACTCAGCCAGATGGGTGGGGTGTACATAATAAATTATTATTATATTATAAAATTATGCCTTGCCTGGGAAAAGTGGGGAGAGAGAGGCCTCCCTCCCTCTCCCTCTCTCTCTCTCTCTCTCTCTCTCGCTCTCTCTCTCTCATAGAACTCTGGAAAATCCATGAAGCTGACAGAAGCTCCAGGACAAATAAAAGACAGTCCTCCTTCATGCAGCACAGAGTTAGACTGTGGAACTCCCTGCCACAAGGAGCATAGCTTCAAAAGAGGACAAATTCATGGACGGCTGTCAGTGGCTCCTCGCCAGGACAGCTCGGCCTCCGCAGTCGGATTCTGCCATGCTCCTGAATCCCAGCGGCTGGGAAAGTCAGGGGGGCCATTCTTGAGCCCCAATCCTGCTCTGGGGCTTCCCTTTGGCCCCTGGGGGAACAGGAGTCTGGCCTGATCCAGCCCAGGGGCTCCTCTGAGTCTCCCTTTCCTGCTGGGCCCAGGCAGGAAGTCCCACTTTTCTGCCAAAGGAACTTTCTGCTGCACCAAACCGGATGAGCAAAAAGAGGCAAACCCCAAAGGCCACCAGACCCCCCCCCAAAAAAACACCCCCACCTGTGGGGTGAGGCCGGACTCTGGCACAAGCCCAACGCCAGCCTGGCCAGGCGGACTCCCAGCAGAAGCCCCGAAAACAGAGCAGCACGGAAACCCCACAAGGCACACCTGTCTGGAAGCCAAGCCGAGGGAGACTGGGAGCCCCCCACCGGCGCTGGGAAACTCCTGCCCCCCAGGACTGACGCAGCCACACAGGAAAGGGGCCCAGGAAGCAGCAGGTGGTCTCAGTGGGGCAACCTCCAAACTTGGCAGCGTCTCACTCACCGCAACCATCGGGAGAGCAATGCCAGGGCGATGTCGTTGCATCGAGGTGGAGACACACAACAAGCGAGTCGAGGGCACCCACTGCACTCCGAATCGGGTCCTGCGCAGCCTCCGGCGCCCCCCACCCTGCCTGCCCCCTTCCCTATTCAGCTCGGAGACAAAGAGAAGACGGGTGCCAAGATTCGGGTGACAGGGGAGCGTCAGGCAAACATCCAGGAGACCCCAAGACAATCTGTTTGCTTCTACCCAGCAGGCGCCAGCTTCTGAGGTCCACAGCACTCCTCACTGGGCATTGCTAAATGTGCAACGCGAGTTCGGGGAAACTCCAAACTTTGCACTCTGAGGATATCTTTTCTCGGCTGCCTTTGGGGACCAAAAGGACAATGCACTCCCAACTCACACAGGTCTCCGCACTCACACGGCCCCACATCCCTTTGGAGGGAGCCCCCCACCCTGAAGCAAAGCCCCTCCCTGTCGGGTCGCAAGGTCCTGCCCAGCTGCCCCCTTACCTCCAGGCTGAGGGCAATCTGTCGGATGTAGAGCATGTTGAGGTCCTCCAGGATGCGGAGTCTGTCCTGCATCTTGGCACAGCACCCTCTCCCTTGCCTCCTCTGCGGGGTGCGGGAAGTCTGGGGGCACCCCTACTGCCCCAGGGCGGCAGGGCCAGGGGCCCCTGGCAAGGCCCCCATCTGGGCACGGCTGGGGCAGCTTCGGACGCCAGGAAACACCGTGCCGTCTGCACCCGGAGAGCTGGTGCGGAGGTCTCCAGCCTGCCTGTGGGGTGGGGCGGGGTGGGGCAGCGAGGCCCCCAGCTCCTGGCCTCTTGCTGCTGCTGCTGCTGGCGCTGCCCAGGCCTCCGTCAGCAGATTCTGCGCCCCCGGCCGAGCTGCGGAGAGAACAGGGCCGTCCTTTCATGCCAGCCGGGCGGCTCCAGACTCCCACCCGCAGAACAAGCAGCCTCTGTGCCTGAAAGGGCAACAGCGCTGGCTGTGCCCCCCGTTTCACAAAGGAGGGGAGCTTGCCAGCCAGCAGCTGGCACCCCCCGCAAGGAGGCAAGCCTGCAGGCAGGGAGCCCCTTGGCCTTGGGGGTCCTGTGCCCCATTTCTGCAGCAGCAGCACCATCACCACCTGCCTGGGTGTCACTCTGGGTGCCACCCATGCCCTGGTGCTGCCCCCTGCTGCCCGCCTTCTTTCCCAAGCCTCGGGAGCGTGCCCACGTTGCCCCTCTGCTGCCCCTGGGCCCCGCTCTCACCTCCTGCCCCTCAGCGGGGCTCCTTCTCCCTCTCAGGGAGCCCTATGCTCCAGCTCCAAGCCTCTTCCCCCCATAGACAGGAAACCGCCTGGCCCCACGCCCGCCCCTCCAGCCCAGCATTCCTGGTTGGGCTCCTCTTACAAGAGCCGCCCCTGCAAGCTCCTCCGCCCGCTCCCTTGCGCCAGGGGCCGCCTCTTCCAGGCCCCGGCCCTCCCACCGGCCACCGGAGAGGGAGGGAGCCCGGCTGCCAGCCCCTCACTCAGGCCTGGCGGGAAGGAGGGGAAAGCGGGGCCAGCACATTTCAAACTCACACAAAAGACAGGCACACTCCTGCGCCCACGTGGCAGGGAGCTGGCCAGCGTCTCCTGCGCTCCAGGCAGCCCAGGGCCACATGCCCAGCCAGACACACCCGGAGAAGCTTGGCACCAAGGCAGGCATGGCAGCCAGCCTCGCCAGGCAGCCCAGAAACTGCTCTAGAGGCCGCTCGGCCTGGACCCTCGACCAAAGCAGTCCAAGATTGGCACAGATGCCCCCGCCCCAAGCAAAATGCCACAGCAAAGTCTCCTCCTTGCAGGATGGGCTCAGAGACCGTGGGGTCTGCTTGGTGCCAAGCAGAAGGACGCCCCACTCTCTCCAAAGCCTCCAGGGCTCTCTGTGCCAACCGGTTACGCACACACTGCCAGGCAGGGTTGCCCGCCTACAATACAAAATGTTTATTCGGCTTTACGCCCATCATGAAACACAACACAACAAAACAAATCAAATAAAACAGCGGACTCGTACAAGCCACAAGTAGTATAACACAGTTCTCAACTCACAAGGACAGATATTAGCCATTCATAAGAAAAGTTTAAGATTAAGATTAAAAAAATTTTTTAGGCACTACACTAAAATCAATATCTGATGTCATTATAGAAAATTCTTGTGACTATCAATAATCAGCTAACATTCCATTCCGTCTCTTGTACGAGAGGACGGCTGTTAGGAATTTAGCAACCTGTAGGGTAATATAAGGATCCACATCTTGAAGAACCCAGGCAAGCTGTAGGTCTACTGGTTTGTCAGCCATAGGCTGGATTATGGGGTTTAGTATACTAGCACGGGCTGAACTGTACAAAGGGCAGATAAACATAACATGATGTAGAGATTCAGATGTTTTCATTTCACACGCACACGTTGAAGGGACTTGGCCCTTAGTGAATCTATGTCTCAACACGTTTGTAGGAAAGACATTGAACCTAGCTCTAATGAAGGCATATCGGTGAGACGCGGCCGTAAGCGATGTTAAGTAGGACGGAGCGCGGTAGATAGGGGTTATGCCGAAATTTAGTGGCGAGCAGACTCCACCACCAGCTACAAAATTTTGGTATAGCTCCACATCATCCAGCCTTTGATTTATACACCTTTTTGCCACATTTAGATCCAGTTTGAGCAATTCAGTGGGCGAGATCTCATAGGACAGCAATTTGGCATGGATTTTTCCTGACCAGGCAGGGTTGCCCGCCTACTCTGGGAAACTTCCAGGGGTCAGAGCTGGAAGGGACACCTGAGGGTCATCCAGTCCAACCCCTGCCATGCAGGAACCTTTTGCCCAGTGTGGGACTCGAACCCACAGCCCTGAGATCCGGAGTCTCACGCTCGACCAACTGAGCCACCTGGGCATGCCCGTGGCGGAGCCAAGCCTGCCACCTGGCCGAAGCAGCTCCACCTCTCTGCTGGCCCAGAACTGGGGGGCACGGTGTAAAAAGGAGAGGGGGGCTCACACCTGCCTTGGCCACTCTCTCCAGCTTGGAAGCCCAGCAATGCCGAGAGGGGCAACTCACAGAATCCTGGAAGTGGAGAGTCAAGAAGGGACCCCCAGAGTCATCTAGTCCACCCCTGCAATTCTATGAGTCTCTGAAATATCTGCCAAAGGGAAGCTGGAGCAAGCTTGCTTTCTGGTGCTTCTCCAGAGCGCAGGACCCAGTGGATTCAAACTACAAGGAAGGAGATTCCAACTCAAGATCAGGAAGAATTTCCTTGGGTAAGAGCTGTTTGGAAGAGGAACGGATTCCCTTGGAAGGTGTGGTGGCCTGGGACTCGAACTCGGAACCAGAGGAGTCTCAGTCTGCACCAGATCCTTTGCCTCAGGCATCATCTGAACCTAGTCTGGGGCCTGATCCTGAAGAGCCCCAGTCTGCACAGGTTCCCCTGCAACAAGCACCAGCTGGGCCGAGTCAGGGGCCTGATCCTGCCCTGGCTCCAGATACGGGGATTACCTAGTTGCCTTCAGCTGGGCCATCACTTACAGCTGCTCCACTACCGGTTGGGTCAGGAGAGGCTGAGGCGGCCTCTGGGTCTAGTCACCCACCAATGTCTCCTGAGCTGCAGAGACTGAAGTCTGAGAGAAGGAGAGACCTGAGTACTCACAGGAGGAGTGCTCACCTTTGGGCGAAACAGGGAGGTGAGTCGCCGGGGGATCAGGACCAGCTGTTACCCCGACAAAGATCAAAGGCTGTCGGACCCCACCCCAGGTTGCGGGAGCAACATTGCTGTGTGCCAGATCCTGCCTGAGATCCTGTACCTGTCCTTGCCTGGTTTCCTGCCTTGTGTCCTGCCTTGGCTCTGTCGGACTGATTCTGGACTGGTCCTGGACCGTGTTTCCCGGGTTACCCCCGGGCCCAGCACAGAAGGTGGGTGGATTTTCCTTCACTGGAGGTTTTGCAGGAGAGGTTGGGTGGCCCCTTGTCTGGGGTTCTTCAGCTGGAATTCAAGCATTGGAGGGGGTTGGACTGGATGGTCTCTGGGGCCCCCTTCCAACGCTACAATTCTATGAGAAGGAGAGGGGACAAGCCAAAGTTGAACCATCACCCCGAGGTGCAAGCTTTGCTTTTGGGCCCGAGGTCGTAGTTTGAAAGAGTTGTGCCTGTTTTGTTTTTAAACCGGGGAGTATTTAAAATGGGACTTCCTCCCCTGCAGCCCGAAATGGTACAGTCCACTCTCCATTCTGCTGGGGCCAATGCAAAAAAGGCCCCGCATGGCACCGCTTCAGGGTGCAACTGCCCAGAACCTGCCTAGGCTCCCGAAAGACTATACCGGACGATGCCAATTGCTCAAATGTGTCTGCCTGCGAGACATATTAGAAAGCACAGAGGGCACCTTCCTTCCCACCCCCAGAATATCTGTCAATCAAAGAGAGCTGGGCAGAACCCAGGAGTCCTGCCCGCCCCACAGCACCAGGAAGACCCACCAAGACGCAGCCCTGGAACCTTTCAAGTAAGAGAGCGCACAGAGCCTCTGGGCATGGGCAGAGTGCAACCTGAGGCTGCGCTCTGTGACTAAGACTAAGAGGAAGAGGATTTTTATGGGCGCCAAGGCAGCTGCCCTTCCATGGGCACTCACACCCCCCACCAGGAGGGTGGCAGCACCCACCTTCGTAAGATGCAGCCTCCGCTGAGCGGCACAATCGCTTTCTGTTTTCCAGCAGGGCTCTTGTGCTGCCTTGGGACTCCCAGCACCCTGAGGTGCTCCCCCCCCAACCAGATTCTTTGTCCCTCTGCCAACTTTGGGGCTCTGCCAAGCCTGCTAATACTTCCCTCTGGTGCGTGGGTGGCAACGGTGCCCTTTTGGCTGCAGAAGCATCGCCACTCGCTCCTGAGCATCAGAAATAGAGGGAATTAAGGTGAGCTGCGCGGCGGATTTCCTTTTGTCTGCCCTGTGTGGCTTCAGGTGAACCCAAGGCCTCGTAAATCAATGACGAGAAGGGCCAGGCGTATTCCTGGCTGCCAGCCTCCAGAGTTTACCAAGACAGGATGCTGGCACACAATTGCTGGCGGGAGCGAGGCCTTGTCAGCACGGACAATTGACAATTTGCTGCCGGGCCCGAGTTCGAGGAGTTACCATGAGTCGATAAAGCCCTTAGCAACTTGGGACCTGCAAGATCTCCTGACCCCAAGCTGCCCACACGGCCACTTTGATCGGCAGAATTGGCCCAGCTACAGGTGCCACAACTGGGCATCTGTAAGGACTTGACCATTTAAGGTGGCAGTGCCTACCCTTTGGAACTCCCTGCCAAATGATACCCAGCAGACACCTTCACTGCATCCTTTTGGGCACCTGCTAAAAACATCCCTTTTTAGACAAGCCTATCCAGATGCTGAGAAAGTTGACACAAGTTTTAACTTGTTTGAAAATATTTTAAGTTTGCATGTTTTGAATTATCCCTGTAATTCAAATTTTGTTGATATTGTTTTACCTGTTTGTAAACCATTTTGAGGTTTGTTGGTTTTTAAACAGTGCAAAAATTAAATAAATAAGTCTTAAACAGACATGCAGGGAAACGCCAGCCCTGCAGTGCTGTCATTCCGGGGAGTTGTTAGCTGAACTGGGCATAATCTAACGAGGAAATGCCTAATCACCTCGAGGAAAGCATTCCACTGGCTGCGAAGAGGAGCACAGTCAGGTTCCTTGTTCCAGTCTAAATGCAAATCCTCCCTTAGGACTTGTGTGGTGACTTCCCAGAACACCTTAAACTTCTGCTGTTGCCTCTGGGAAAGAAAGCTGCAGTGTCTGAGCAGAAAGGATCGGGGAGAGCTGCAACAAAATGTTGCAGCGTCAAGTGCTACTCCACCCCAAACACACCCCTGGCTCTCTCCCATGAGCATGCTCAGTCCTCATGGAATCACAGAATGGTAAAGTTGGCAGAGACCCCCCCCCAAGCGTTGTCTAGCCCCCTGCAATGCAGGAATCACAGCAAGCTGATCACAGTTTTTGGGGAGACAGGGCCTGTGAGCTTCTCCCCTCAGATTTTCGGCACTTCCCCAAAGCAGCAGGGCCCCATCCAGCCTGCCGACACCTCTCCTGCCCTTTGGCGCACAGTATGTGACCCCCTTTTGGCTGCACAAGCAACAACACACACAGGCTGGGAACTGGAAATAGAAGGAACGGTTATTTCAGGCGGGTTAAAAATAAAAGGAAGGACCATGTCTGAACGCAGCGCGCCTTAATTCTGGACAGTACAGTGGTACCTCGGGTTACAGATGCTTCAGTTTACAGACGCTTCAGGTTACAGACTCCACTAACCCAGAAATAGTACCTCGGGTTAAGAACTTTGCTTCAGGATGAGAACAGAAATCATGCTCCGGTGGTGCAGCGGCAGCAGGAGGCC